TGCCTGAACACTACCCCTGACTTACAGCTCAAACCAAGGTAGACAGTGAATTAAAAACAATAGTCTCTGGGCTGAAGAGGTGACTCAGAGGTTAAGGGAACTTGCTGCCATGCAGAGGACATGGGTTTGGTTCCCAGACCCACATGGCAGCTTACAACCATCAATTCCTGTTCCAAGGGATCCAACAGTTTCTTCTGGTCTCCTTGGGCACCAAGAATGAACAATAAATTAAATTAAAAGGCTTTACTCTGTCAAAAGTGGTATCTCATGCCTGTAATCCTAGCACTCAAGAGGCTAGGGCTGGATTGCTACAAATTTGAGGCCAGCTTGGTGCTAAAACCCATGAAAAAATGTCCAGTCTAACCCAGTAAGGGTAAGAGTGCTATCAGGATCTCAACAGGTAAGCAAGAGTGGCAGGCAGTATCTCCAACAAGTAGTTATCTTAAATATTGTGGCTCCTGTGTGGCATGGCGCCTCTTGAGAAGGTGGATACTTCCACTCTGAAAGTACCTTTGAGACATAGGCAGTAAATACTTTAGCTTACAGTTCAAAGACACCTCACAAGACCATCACAAATGCAGGCCTCGATATTGAGTTATCCTGGAATCGGATCAGATCTGAGGTCCAACTGGTCCAGCCTCATGAGAACCAAGGAAGGTCAAGTTGGCAGGAGGCTGTAAGCCTCCTCCCATACCTGGTTCCCAGGCCCCAGTTAGACTCAGGCCCTTAAAAATCTGTACCAGTCTCTGTACTCTTCTTCCTTGAGTCAAGTAATGCTTTGAAAGAGTTGTGTAGCTGGGCATGGTGACACACACACTTAATCCCAGTACTCGGGAGATAGAGGCAGGGGGGATCTTTGTGAGTTCAAGGCTACCCTGATCCAAATAGTGAATTCCAGGCCAGGTGGGGCTACAGGGAGACCCTGTCTCACAAAAGGGGGGAGGGGATCCTAAAAGAACCCAAAATTTTCTTTTTTAAATTTTTATTTTATGTGTCTGAGTGTTTTGCCTGAATGTATGTTGTGTACCCATATCATGCAATGCCCATGCAGGCCAGAGGAGGGCGTCAGATACCCTGGAACTGGAGTTACAAGTGGCTGTTAGCTACCACCACGTGGGTACCAGGAACTGAACCTAGGTCTTCTGCAGGCACAGTAACTGCTCTTAACCACTGAGCCATCTCTCCAGCCCCTTAGTTTCTCTTTTACCTCAGTTTCTAATGCCTTACACCAAAGGAAATGTGATTTTCTTAATCACGTCCTGATTAAGGTATTACGAACTTACCTTAACTGGCCAGCTAGAGGTAGCATGTGTCATGTCCCACAGGTGGCATTCTCATGCTTCTGGTGCAAACTAGAAACCATACTGTTGGGTGTGGTGGTTTGTGTTTATAGTCTGAACTATGTAGGAGGCCTTGAGAAGATCTCCTTGAGGAAGACCACGTGAGCCCAAGAGTTTGAGTCTAGCTTGGGCAACATAGTAGGACATTGTCTTGAAATAAACTAATAAAGGGGCTGGAGAGATGGCTCAGCAGTTCAGAGCACTGGCTGCTCTTACAGAGGACCCAGGTTCAATTCCCAGCACCCACATTGTGGCTAACAACTGTTTATAACTCCAGTTCCAGAGGATTCGATGCCCTTTTCTGACCTGTACAAGCACTGCATGACACAAGTGTAGTTACCTATCTACATGTAGGCAATACATTGATAAAATAAATAAATATATATTTTTTAATTAAGTAAGAGTAATAAAAAGACACCCTTATCCTCAATACTTTACGTCCATCCATGGAGGTATTGTAAGTATTACATAAAGATTTGTAAAAGATGAGAAAACTAAAGTTCAGAGACTAATGTACAATGTGCCATATTCCATTGAGTTTTGTGCCCAGGACCAATTCCACAGTTAGAGCTCATACAGCTACTCCACTTGCTAACGTGCCTTGGTAAGATACTGTGTTAGGAAGTCTGTTAAACTAAATTTGCTGTCAGTTTACACAACAATGAAGTTGTAAGATCTGAGGACCCCAAACATTTTGCAACATGTTGAGAAGTGAATGAAAAGCATGCTTGCACAAATCTGCAACAGAAAGAAACAGGCAGACAAAACTACAATCAAGATTCACAGGTTATGACAAAAAGCAGGAGGTTAGGGATGCTGGTGCATGTCTAACCCAGCCCTCAGGAGACAGAGGTAGGTGGATCCCTGTGAGTTCAAGGCCAGCCTGGTCTATGTAGCAAGTTCCAAGCCAGCCAGAGCTATACAGTGAGACCCTGTCTCAAAACAATAACACACAAAAAAGCAGGGTGATATTCCTCAAAAAGGAATCTGCATTATATTTTGTACTTCATTGCCAAGGAAGAGTAAGTTTCAGACCTGCCTCCATTTCATAAGCAATTTAAGTAGCAATGAGAGTCCTGTAACAGAAACATGAAAAGCATACATTCAGAATAAGTAGCCAGCATTGCAATAGGTGTCTATAATCCCAGTCAGGAGGTTGGACCACCCAGGCATGCAGCAAGACCAGTCTCATCAAGAAAAAGCATGCACACAGCTTTTACATATGAATTTTCCAGGCCAGGTGTTGTATCACACACCTGTAATTCGTTCCTGCACTCCTGAGGCCGAATCAGGAGGATAGAGTCCAGGCGTGCAGGAACAGAGAACACTCCATCCCAAAAACAAAAACACAGCATCAGTGAGATGGCGCAGTGGGTAAAGGCACTTACTGCCAAGCCTGATGATCTGAGAAAGAACAGACTTGCAAATTGTCCTCTAACCTCCATACGTACACACACAATAAAGCAATAAAATAAATATTTAAAACAATTTACAAACCTGCAATTATGACTTTTCCTATTAGTAGGAATAAACTACCAGCCTACAGCTCTGAAGCAGTGGGTTTGGCTGATTTTGACTAAGAAAAAAAATTTATGAGCTGAGGTTTTAGAAAATACCAGTGACTGGGGGCAGACAGGCAGGCTCCACCATGAAAGTCCTAGAAACCAGAAGCTCCTTACATGCAAAACAGTAAAGAACAGCTTCGAGGATGCCACCAAGTCCCTCCAGCTCGCTCAGCTCTTTAGGGCCTGGTGGAGTCTCAAGGAGAAAGCATGTAACTTGATAAAAACTGTGGATACAGTCATTTACACCAAGAGTGCATAAAGCAACATGCTCCCTCTCGTGTTCATGGAAGGCAAGCTGACAAACTTCTTAAGCGTTCAGTTCAAGTGAAGGGCGGCCTTTGCTCACCTTGTAGAATGACAGAGGCACGTAGTTCCACTTCACAAGTTCTAGAATTTGCTTTCTTGAAAAGGCTATTTGTTTTTCGAAACAGGGTCCCATGTAGTATAGGCTGCCTTCAAACTCAATACACAGTTTGAACTTCTGATCACCCTGCATTCTCCTCCCAAAAGCTAAGATTACAAGGTACCCAAATACCAGACATTATGAGATATCAGGGATTGAACCCAGGGCTTTGTGCATGCCAAGGCAAGCAGCCTGCCAATTGACTACATCCCTAACCTGAATTCAGTTTTGAAACAGTTTGGGAGGCTCATGAGACCAGTCCTAAACACATGATCACCCTTAATGGAGCCAGAAGTCTGGCTACCCTAGGCAGGAAGTAAGATTTCTTAGAAGTTTCTTCACCTCTGTTCCCAAATAGTTCCCTATGGGCATCACCAACAACTGAAGAAACTTTCTCACAAAGTAACATAAATCCAGCTGAAAGCAGACACTGAGCAATCTTATTTATGGATCATGTTTTCTTTTTTCTTTGATTTTTTTGAGAAAAGATCTCACTATGCAGCCCTGGCTGACCTGCACCACCCTATGTAGACCAGGCAGGTCTTGAACTCAGAGATCCACCTACCTCTGCCTCTGGAATATGCTGGGATTAAAAGCATGGGCTACCATGCCGGGCTATGGGGTCGCTTTTTAACTGGGCTGCTGGCAAAGACTATCTGCTGTTTCTGTAAAAAGGATGTAAATAACCATTCCCTCGCTTCCTGTCAAGTTTTTGGTTCCTAGCTGTGACTAGGTCTTTCTACTGGCAACTCTACTGAAAAACCCTCTTGGGTTGAGTAAACTGGCAAATGAGGAACAGTCATCACCTAGCAAATTTCTAATGCACACATCAAAATGGTTTGGTTTTTCATTTTTGTTTTTCCTGAGACAGGATCTCATGTAGCCCAGGCTGGCCTCCTACTTGCTATCATGTAACTGAAGCTGGCCTCCAACTTTTCATCCTCCTGCCTCCACCTCCCACATCCTAGGATTATAGGCATGTGCTACCATGCCGGTTTTTTTTTTTTTTTGACAAGATTGGGGATGTTTTAAGGTGGTAAGACTGTTTTCTGGTTTTTGTTTGTTTTTGTTTTGAGGCAGGGTCTCCCTAAAGTCCCAGCTTGTTCTGTAGATTGGACTGGCCTTAATCCCACAGAGGTCCACCTGCCTCTGCCTCCTGAGTGCTGGGATCAAAGGCTGCACCACCATGCCCAGCTTTGTTTCCTGGTTTTTGGAAACAGGGTCTCATATCTTCCTTTAATTTTTTTTTAATTCACTTTTTTATATTTATCGTATGTGTTTATGTGGGAGAGGTGAACACGTGGAGGTCAGAGGACAGCTTTTGGGCATCAGTTCTCCCCTGCCATGTGGGTCTCCTGGCAACTGCCTTTTCCTGCTAAGCCGTCTCACTGACCCTTTTTTCCTGCTTTTACAAGTCTCACGGTTTTCTAAGCTGCTGTCTAATTCCTAGGTCCAAGTGATCCTTCCCCAGCCCATCAACCTGAGTAGCAATATCACTGCATTCCACCTTACATTAGTTCTGGATTTGTTTGACATATTTTGTCAAACAGTCTGCTTGAAACATTAGTGTTCCAAAGCTATGACCCTGGCAAATTCCCCAACAGGCCAACAGGAATCACGTATGAACATTACTGTCATGCAAATCAAGCCACTCAATGAAAGCAACATACAAAGCACATGTAGCCAACAACATAAAAGTACTCTATTGTTGTGAATTTTATTGAATTCAAAGGTGGCAATTCTTCATAAGGAATTCAAAAAAAATTCAAGTTGTACAAGCATGTGTCAGGAAATAAACAAATAATGAAGGGTGCTCAGACCCTTCAGAACAGTGGAGCAGAACCAACCCACATGAAGAGATCTTTATTCAGTACGAACACTGGACACTCATTAACACAGAGACCACCGAAAAGACTGTAAGAGCACTTCAACTTTTTAAGTTCGGGCTAGGATCTGACAAACCTAGCTTCACTTACCAGCCAGCTCAACAGGATCATCTGCCAATGCCAGAATCTCTACAGCCCTTAGTTCAGCTGGGAATGACTACAGTGAAGACCTTTGTTTGAACTAGCTGTTTTTCCAATCTAAAGCCGTCTAGCAGCTTAATTTCAATATAGCAAATGGTGTCATCTGGCTGGCTACATCATGCACTACTGACTGGGCAAGGTTTAAGGAGTTTTGAGATCAGGCTGCTGGGCTTCCTGGCTGGTCTTACCCACTTCCGCACTCTGAGGATAAAAGGGACCTACCAGCCAGTTGAGAGGTGTGTTGTTAACAAGATAATCCATCACATCATCTAAGGATTCCTTCATTTTCTGCAGCTGCCCCTTGCTAGAAGTGAGGAAGCTGTCAGACACTTCCTTAAAGGAGGCAGCATTGAGGAACACTGAGTAGATATCCCCAGCCATCACCCCCAAGTGGCTGGCCTGATCTTGGATGTTCTGTGGTAACCCTTGGATGTTGGACAGAAGCATCTGGCATGTAGTCTGGAGCTGCTGAGTCAGGTTGCGGGCAATTGCCAGAGTACGTGACTCAATGTGCTAAAAATAAAACATATCCAAGAATTAATGGTCGATCCAACAGTGCTGTTTGATTTAGCTCAGTCACAGTAAGCTGGTTATATGTCTGTAGATTCTTTGACTTTCGGGGTTTAGGTTTTTTTGGTTTTCAAAAGGGGAATCCAGGGCCTTAAGCTTACTAGGCAAATGCTCTGTCACTGAACTAAACCCTCAATCCCAATTCTTTCTTTCAAAATAAATAAATGAAATAAATAAATGAAAGCAGAGCCTGTTTCTCATTTGGGGTTATTGGCAACCTATAGGTTGTTATATACAGTCACTCTCTCCCCAATTTTGTTTTTTCTACCAGAGAATCTATCTAACAATATTGTTCAAGCTTTTGATAGTATATTTTTGCAGTACTGGAGTTTAACTTGCAGGACCCCCTGCATGCTAGGCAGGTGCTCCACCACTGAGCCACATCCCTAGCCTTCGCTTTAAAAATTTTTTAATATTTTAAAAATATTTTATTTATTTTTATTTTATGTGCATGAGTGTTTTGTCTGAATGCACGTATGTACACCCATGTCATACACTGCCTGAAGAGGTCAGAAGAGGGTGTTGGAGTCACTGGAACTGGGGTTATGGACAGCTGTTAGCCGCCATGTGGGTGTTGGGAACTGAACCCAGGTCCTCTGCAGGAGCAGTCAGTGCTCTTAACCACTAAGCCATCTCTCCAGTCCTATCTTTAAAAGTTTTTATTATGTTTTATTCATTCATTCATTCATTCATTCATTCATTCATTCTATGTGTGCATGCATGCACATGCCACAGTGCACATGTGGAGGTCAAAGGACAACCTGAGGGAGTCCATTATTTCCTACCACCCTGTGGGTCCCAAGGATCAAACTTAGGTTATCAGGCTTGGCAGCAAATGCCTTTATCTGCTGATCCATGTCACTGGCTGTTCTTTACTCCTCATTTTGAGATAGGGCCTTGAACTTGTTATCATCCTGCCTCAACATCCCAAGTACCTAGAATTGCAGGCCTGTACCACCAGGCTAGAATGAGAGAAATATATTCTATAAGGATTCATAGGGAAACTGAAACAGAAGTTTGATAAGAACTCCAGAAACAGCAGTGGACGACTGTCCATCATCTTACCTCAGCACAGTGGGATTCGTCAGTATCATCATGGCCAATGTTGTTCTTCCACTCCACCCAAGAGACATAGAGCTTATCCTGAGCATCCTGAATTTTCAGGTTAGCATTATGCACATTCTTCCTAGCAAATTCAATCTACAGCACAATAAAACAAAACAAGTGAACAGAGTAGTTATTCATTTTTAATCTGCTTGCAGCTCTGCGACATAAAACTGGTAACATAAATACCAAGAATTCAGGGCTGGAGAGATGGCTCAGCAGATGAGAGCACCTACCACTCTCGTAGAGGGCCTGAGGACCCAAGTTCAATCCCCAGTACCTATGTTAGGTGGCTTACAACTGCCTGTAGCAACAGCTCCAGGGGGTCCCAACACCTGTAACCTTTATAGATAATCTGCATTCATATGCACATATTCACACATATGTATACATGTAACTTAGAAAAGTAAAACTAGGGCTAGAGATATGGGGTTAAGAACACTGGCTGCTCTTGCAGAGGACCTGGCTTCATTCCCAGCACCCACATGGCAGCTAACAACCATCCCTAACTCTAGTTCCAGGGGATCTGATGCCCTCTTCCAATCTCTGTGGGCATAGCACGACATGGGTGCACTTACATACAGGCAGGAAAATCATTCATACATGTAAAATAAAAACAAAACAAAACAAACTGAAAAAAAAATAAAAGAGAGGAAGGCTAGGCATGGAGGTGGTGGTGCACGCCTTTAATCCCAGCACTCAGGAGGCAGAGGCAGGTGGATCTCCATGAGATTAAGACCAGCCTGGTATACATAGCAAGTTCCAGGCCAGAGGGGGCTATAGGGAGACCCTGCCTCAAAAATAAAAGGGGTGGAGTAGAAAGGCCAGGCATGGTGGTGTATGCCTGTAATCCCAGCAGTTGGGAGGCAGAGGCAGGCGGACTTCTGTGAGTTCAAGGCCAGCCTGGTCTACAGAGTAAGTTCCAGGACAACTGGGGCTACAGAGAGACCCTGTCTCAAAAAGACCAAAAAAAAAAAAAAAATTCCTGAATTTCATAATCACCTTATACTCTCATCCCTCAAGATACAAAACTTACTTCAGACACCTTAAAATGACAGTGTACCCACCAGATGAACAGTAGAATGAAGCTGAGAAATGGTCTCTTGGCTTTTTTGCTTGGCATCTTTAACCCTGCTGAGAGCCTGCTGGTAGGCACGAGAGCGGAGCTTGGTAGACAGGGATCCCAGCCTAACGTAATAACTTGGCTTCTGAACCATGTCAAATCCTTCCACTTTTTTGGCTTCTTTTTCTAAAAACAAAGTCGGGGGGGGGGGATGTAAGGGATCCCAGCTCTAATAAGGTGAGTCTTCACTTTAATGATCCTACCCACTCTCCTAGCAAGGAAATTCTCATTTCCCAAGACTGCTCAAGTCTGTCACTAGGTTGACCACCCTAAAGTACTACTGTATCTGACATATTACATGTGCTTACTTTACACATGCTTCTTCCCTCCAGAGTGAACCTCTTAGCAACATACACCCTAGCACGTAGTATAAGCAGTAATGGTGATTAAGTACAGCCCAGGTTAGCCTTAAACTCACAGAGATCCACCTGCTTCCACCTCCCCATTGCTGGGAATAAAGGTATGTGCATGGGTAGCATGAATCACTGTACCTTTTACTGATGATTTTGTAAAGCAGCTTATTAAAGAAAATCTGTACACATAAAATATTTTATCCTTTACATTTCAATGCTTACTATATACACATGTCAATATGAAACTGGATTGCTTTGAGAGGAACAAAAAAAAAAATCAAGCCAGGCATGTAATCTCAGCACTTGGGAGGCGGACTGAGGTTAGATGCTTTCTAAGTGAGACTATCTCAGAAAGATTAACAGGCCAGCAAGATGACTCAGTGGGTAAAAAGTGCTTGTCATGCAAACCTGAATGAGTTCAATCCTGGAACCCACATAAAAAGCCCAGCATCAGACACTGCCCAGAAGTTTGAGAGGCAACTAGCATGGAATACACAGGGAGGCAGAAAGGAAGGAGACCCTGCCTCCAGCAGGTGGAGAAGACACCGGAGCCCTGAAAATTGTGCTCTGACCTCCTCATGCCCACCATGGTAGAACACATTTGCACGTGCACGTGTGTACACACAAACACACACACAAATAAATAAAAAATAAATAGGCAGAAAATCTATATAGAGACAGTGTGATAGAGGGGCTGGAGAGATGGCTCAGTGGTTGAGAGCACTGACTGCTCTTGCAGAGGATCCAGGTTCAATTCCCAGCACCCACATGGCAGCTAACAACATCTGTAACTCCAGTTCCAGGGAAATCCAATACCCTCTTCTGATCTCCTCGGGGACTGCATGACATGGGTGAACTTAAACACATGGTAGGCAATACACTCATAACATAAAATAAAAATAATGAATTTTTTTAAAAGAAATAAAGTGATAGAAATATTCTAAAATCGAATTCTGGTGGCTTTGCAAATGCTGACTGGAAAACAGACCTCAAAGGCCAAAAAATTTTACATATTGTTGGGAGTTATTAATATAAGCACAGCCGTTATGTACACTGAGCTGTGGCAGGCTTGTTTACTTTATGACCTTTCACCTTGACTCAAGAGTTTGTGTTTTACACACAAGCACTGAATTGTTCTGTCTAGTCAGGAGGAATGTGCTGATAATTTAGGGAAAATGGTTAATTGGTGGAATTCACTACAAGTATTTGACCGTTCCTTGACCCTCAGATAAAGGTGGGAAAAAAGAGCTGTTGAAGCTCATTAAGCTAAGCAAACGGTGGTTCTCTGCTGTTCTGCTGTATAAGAAGGCTGAGCTGAAATAAACCGGGGCTGCAGTCTCTACTGACAGTCCTCCCAAGTATCTTTCTCTGTCTCTTGTTTTTCTTTCATCCTCACTCCCCCTTTCAGGTGCTGTTCATCTAAGGCTGGCTGGCACCGGCAACTTATCCCATCTCAATAAGGTGGTGCCTACAGCAGCACTTAAGAGGTACAGACAGGAAGATCAGGAGTTCAAGGCCAGCCTGGGCTACATGAGACCACGTCTCAAAAAAAGGAGATGGAAAGAGAAAGAAAGAGGCATACAAAGAGATTGAGATAGGGAGAAAGAGAGAGAGTCTGGCTCAACAAAGCTGTATTAGAAAGATTAGTTCAAAGGTGGGCATACACAGTAGCACATGCCTGTAATCCCAGCACTTGGGATGTAGAGACAGGAGGATGAATAGTTCAGTCATTCTCAGCTACATAGTGAGTTCAAGGCTAGCCTGGGTTATGTGAGATCCTGCCACAAAAAAATAAAAACATAAAACATTATTTCAGTATAAGAGCACTGTTACCTAGCTCTTCCTGGGTGAGAGGGAGGTACTGGTCTACCAGCAGTTCTGATTTGGCGAGTGCATTTTCTACTCCACTGCTCACAAGCTGCACCATCCGACTTCCCAAAACTGTGTTGATGCTGCCATTGACCACAGACTTGGTCCTCTCCACACTGCCAGTAACTGCTCCTTTGGTCCTGCCTACCATCCCTGTGATCGTGCTGGCTACAGAATCCTTGGCCCCGGTCACAGTAGTCGTCACTGCATCTTTTGCCCCAGTCATAGCACCTCTGGCACTGGCAACAATCTGTAAGCAGAAAAGCAGATCAACAGCTCATGAGAAATATGGGGCTAATATGTGTCCAAGTTTTACAAAGGCTAAACGGTTAAAGGATTAAACCTGTCCTTTTCAACTCTCTAACTTTTGCTCTTGGGCATATCCTAAGGTTTAGCCTGAATGTCTTTGTCAAGTCTGTTTGCTCTACCAGGCATCCCTCAGAGACTGTTAGCTGTGTAAATGAAGTAAACAAACATGAAATTAGTCAGTTTGTAAAGGTGAGTTGTTTTGCATTGTTTTTTAACTAGAAAAACTTTGTGACATACAAGAATACTCTAGAGAAGGCATACTTAGCCAGGCTTCGTGGCCCAAGCAAGGGCAGCCTGGTCTACATAGTGAGTTCCAGGTTAGCTGGGGCTACAGGGAGACCCTGTCTCAAAGACCAAAAATAAATTAAAAAAAAAAAAAATTGAAGGCAAGCTTATGCCTGCCTGAGAACATGTTTTTTTTTTTCTTCATATGTTCTTAACATGTACTATGCACACCTAGCCCTTAGCACTCATCCCCAGAGAACCAATACATAGCCAGAAGTGCCAGTTCTACGCCCTACTACAAACACCCCAGACAGCTGTCTCTGAACTTAGAATACCAGCCCACCCAAGAGTATGAAAGAGCTGTAAGTATGAAGGAGATGCAGGCTGATACTTAAGATTCTTTCTTGCTGGGCATGGTGCACGCCTTTAATCCCAGCACTCGGGAGGCAGAGGCAGGTGAATCTCTGTGAGTTCAAGGCCAGCTGGGACTACAGGGAGACCCTGTCTCAAAAACACAAATAAATAAATAAATAAATAAATAAATAAATATTCTCTCCTTTTTTGCCCACAACACATATCACCACATACTTGATCAGACTTGAGTTCCCCTCAAATACTACAAAAGTAATTTTACAACTGATAATGACAGACGGGAAGGAGATCAACTACTAGCAGGTCCTGGCAAGGAGGTGATTAGGTAGAATGGCCCGGGTTTCCAATCCAAGCAGACTGACTCATGTTCTTTATCTGCCGGAATGGAGCAAGGGGAGGAGGGGACAAAAGAAACCTCCCAGGCATGGCTGGGGTTTAGAATGTAAAGTTCTCAAAGCCGTTTCACAAACTGCTCATTTCTCCAAGATCTCACATGAAAGGACTACGAACTAGATCCTAAAACCAGAGTCACTTTCAGTATGAGAAAACAGCTTTAAATTTTAATTAACTTCATGCCCCAAAGTAGGATTTTGGACAAGGATCACAGTACCTTGCACTTGAAAAACTGAATTACAGTGCTGGGTATTGGTGTCACACCTTTAATCCCAGCACTGAAAGGCAGAGGCAGGCAGATCTCTGTGAATCTGAGGCCAACCTGGTGAGTCAGGCCAACCGGGTCAGCCAGGGTTATACAGTGAAGCCCTGTCTCCAAAAAAAGAAAGGTAAAAGAAAAAAAGAAAAGAAAATGGACTGGAGAGAATGCACAGCACTGGCTGTTTTTGCAAAGCACCTGGAAAAAAATATCCAGAAAAAAATAATTCCAACCATTACAACAGACTCCATTCTCCCTATAGTCCCAGCTGGCCTGGAACTCACTATATAGACCAGGCTGGCCTTGAACTCACAGAGATCTGCCTGCCCCTGCCTCCCAAGTGTGGGGATTAAAGGCATGTGCCACCATGCCTGGTTTATAAGTGAAAAATTTAAAAAGACACAGAGAAGCATTCTAAAGACTGTACACTAAACTTATCTGTTTAAATGATGAAAAGACAGAGGCCAGGTTTCCACCTATCTGGTCCATTTTGTGTCATTCTATCTTTCTGTCTCTGTCTCTTTTTTTAGGGGAGGGGGGCTTCTTGAGACTGGCCTTGATCTCACAGAGATCCATCTACCTCTGCCTTCCAAGTACTGAGATTAAAGGCATACACCACCTCAACTGATCTCATGCTGTATTCTTAACCTTAAATTGAGGGCATTATCTGAACCAAAGATCATGGGGATGGATGAGTCTGTCATTTTGTTACCAGTGGCCAGCTGCCATATATACAGGATATCCCGAAGGTGCATCACATCAAGCCAAGTGAGAGAGAATCTTCCACTTTATGTTTACCCAGCACCATATGAGATCACTTTTGTGTTTTAAATTATTTATTTTTTATTTTACGTGTGTAAATATCTTGCCTGCCTATATATGTAAGTATACCATGCATGTACAATGCCCAGAGGACAGAAGACCATGTTGGATCCTCTGGAACTAGAGTTACAGACAGTTATTAGCCCCCAGGTGGGTGCTGGGAACAAACCTGGGTCCTCTGGAAGAAACGTTAAGTGCTATCTCTCCAGTCCCTATTTGCTTTGAACCAGGATCTCATCATGTAACTCTGACTGGGCTGGAACTCACCAGCCTCTGCCTCTAAAGTGCTGGGACTGTCGGCACGCACTATCACCTCCAGGAATCATGTATTTAAGAGAAATTTCACAGCAGAACAACGTCTCAAAAAGTACTCTAAGAAAAGGTGGCTAGTTCTTCTGTGCTAATTCTTAGACTCAACCTGAGAGCAACTGAGGGGAGGGGCCAGTGCTCTTATAAAAACATCCAGATCCAGATTAAGGGAACAGGTATGTGTGTTTGTGGCACACAGCCTCTGCTAAAGAAAATATGAAACATGCCAAGAATAAAGACTCAGCACTCTGTCCCAAGCTCACCTCAGATGTTGGCTGATTCAAAATCGGCAGTCTCTCCTCAATCCTGTCCAGCCCCTTACAGGCATAGCTATTGGCAACCGCAACTGCGAGAATCACAAATAGAGAAATGATCGTGTCACACTGTAAGTATGAACACATAAGGCAACACCTTAGAGCTTTATTTATTTAGCCTCATTTCAAAAACAGCAAGAACACAACTGTGGTTTTTGTTTTGTTTTGTTTTGTTTTAAACCACAAAACCCATTTCCTGGTTTCTCTAGCTCAAACAGGAAGAGACTTGGTACACTGTTGGGAACTTTCTGCCAGTAACAGGGAAATAAGAGGTTGTGCACATAAAACAGCAGAGGCCAGGGAGGAAGCTGGCTAAGGAAGAAGGCCCCTATGTTGATGTCAGAGTAGACAGGCTTCTGTTGAACCCTCATTCAGGGACTAAAGTAACTGCAAACTCCCCAAACTAGTATTTCCATGCTACATTAATACCTACTTATTCAGTACACAGCAATACATTTTGGGTTCTCACCAGGAGAAAGCTAGTAGCACCCTGGATCACCTTAACAAGGTCTAGATTTCAGTCCAAACCTCCCCCTAAGGACAGTAAGCCAAGTATTCAAACTAAATTCATTTGGCATTTGGGAATTAGCTTTGTTGGAACAGCCACTCATTAAAGGTTCCATATATATATATATATATATATATATGAATGAAAATGTATATATCAACTTCATCATTTTAACCTAATGTTTTTTGAGACAGGGTCATTTGAGTCCCAGGACTCACACAGGAAGTTAGAACCAACTCCTACAAGTTGTCCTCTGACCTCCACATTATGCTATGACAAACATCCACAAACATATATACAAACATTCATATACACAAAAATAACTTTTTTTTGTTGTCTTTTTGAGACAGGGTCTCCCTGTAGCGCCTGGAACTATGTAGACTGGGTTGGCCTTGAACTCACAGAGATCCGCCTGCCTCTGCCCCCCAAGTGCTGGGACTACAGGTGTGCCACCACGTCCAGCACAAAAATAAATTTCAGAATAAAACTGATCCTCTCCAGTACCTCCCTTCAAAAGTGCTGGGATTACAAGCGTGTGTCATCATGTGGGCTAGAAGTTTTTATTAAAGTAACATGGGGAGCAGGTGTGGTGGTATACACCTTTAACCCTAGCTGTCCTTTAATCCCAGCTGTCAAGAGGCAGAGGCAGGCAGATCTTTGTGTGACTGAGGCCAGCCTGGTCAATTTCCAGGCCAAATGGGACTACAGGGAGACCCCATCTCAATAAATAAATTAATTAATTATTAATTAAAATGAACATCTGTCAAGGCTATGAAGCAGTCTTTCTATGACAATGCAAACCACAGTCAGTTTCTAGGTAGAAGCAGTATTCTCAGGACTCTCTGCTGTTGCCAAAGTGCTAAGAATCCACCCAACCAGTCCCCCTTGGTGCCACTGTTTACTCACTCTGTGGCTCCAGCTTGTGGATGAGGGGCAGAGCACTTGTTGCAGCCACTGAGGTCACGGTCTTCACACCCTTCTCTGCCATCTCACACACAGATTTCAAATAGGGATACTGGTCCTTTGTACTGACATATGCAGAGGACACCAGGTCGTAGGTGGAGCTCACCAAGGGCAGGTTGGCCACCCTAGACACCACACTCTGCAACCATAGAAGGGTGGATATCAAGGTCTCAAAGCACACAGGGAGATAAAGGGGTGGAGAAATAGGTATTTAAAAATCATACCAGTGGTGGATCAACTGCAACAGATGCCATTTTTTCCTCCTAGAACAGAAACCTGAAGAAGAAAAGCTTGCCTCAGAACACTGCTATTTCCCAACCCAGACAAATGCTCGTTCAAGCAGAGAAAAATTCTCCCTGCACTAGGGAGGCAGAGGCAGGCAGATCTCTGAGTTTGAGGCCAGTCTACAGAAGAGTTCCAGGCCAGCTGGGGCTACAGAGAGCCCCAGTCTCAAAGTACACCGCCCCCACCCGACTCCCACCCCCTATAAAACGGCTGAAAAAAGTCAAAAGGAGCTGAGTGATCCCAGCTGAGTGATCCCAGCTGGGGCCTTCCTTCCCACTCTCTAGCTCAAAGCCTTAGCAAAGTTGTTGACACTTTTGACCCGTTTCTCAATCAGGACAAGAGAAATGCCTTTGAAGCTCATTAAAAAAAAAAAAAAAAAAAAAAACAACAAAAAAAAAAACACCAAAGGAGGCTACTCAAACAGAAGGCATCTTGGCTTACCCACATACTTGCCCTTAATTTTTTTCAGACAGGGTCTCCGTCTGTCGCCCAGGCTGCCCCAGAACTCTGGATCTTCCTCAACCTCCCTATCGCTGGGATCCCATGCATGGGCTACCACACCCAGGCAATTCCCTGGGGCGCTTTAAAGGGATTTATTTTACCTTCCTGTACAAAGAAATGTAACTAGTAGTTTACTGCTACTAAGCTGAAGAAAGAGTTGTTTCAAGGAAGTTGAGGCTCGTCACACGATGCGCGTTCCCCATACATTAAATAACGCCAAAGGCCCACACCCACACAAAACTGCCTTCTATCCGGCAGCAGAACCTGCCAGTCAGCTCGGCCTTCGGTCATCAAAGGTTCCAGTTCCAAGAAATGAGTAAGAATCACCGTGAAGTTTCCATACCGCCAGTGTAACCCAAAAAAATACCATTTGCGTGGTGGTGCTGTAATCCCAGGCTGGGCAGGACTGCGAGTTCAAGGCCAGCTTGGGCTACGTAGTGTGAGCTGGGAGGTAGGCTTCGCTGACTAGTGACGCACAGCCTTAAAGAAATCCACTACTGCACCCCTTAAGTACTTCTGGAAGGCATTTCCCTTTAAATAATGTCCCTTCAGGGCATATGCAAGTTGCTTCCCCAAAGCCGGGAAGGAAGTCACGCAGAAAAGACACGAGAACAGAAGCGAGCAGGGAAAGCGTGGGTCCTAACGCGGTCCTTCCCAGCCAGGCCGGGCCCACCCCGCCAGCACCCCTCGGTCCAGCCCTGAGCTCAGAGCAGCAGCAGCCGCCACCCTGGGAGCCCGAGGCTCGGCGCGGCAGGACGGTCGGACACCCACCGAGCAGCGCGGAGACGGGCGCAGGGACCGGCGAGTCGAGCAACAGCACTCGCCGCGCTGCCGCCCAGAGCTAAATACCACCTGGTCGCCCCGCCCCGCGCGCGCGACACGTGACCTCCGCGGGGAACCCGGAACCAGCCTAAACCCAGCCGGGCCCCAGCTCTGGCTGGTGCCTTCGGCTCTGGCAGCCGGAAAGGCCCGCCTGCAGAGTCCGGACCCGCCCTGTAATAGGGACCTGAGCCCCGGGCCTGGAGGGAAGGGACCGCAGCCTGGGCCCGGGAAACCTGCCTGGGCAGGGCCTGTGGCTGCCCGTCCTGCCTGGTTGGGGTCCTCCTGGGTTGGGGGTCCTGCCTGGGTTGGGGTCCTCCTGGGTTGGGGGTCCTGCCTGGGTTGGGGTCCTCCTAGGTTGGGGGGCCTGCCTGGGTTGGGGGGCCTGCCTGGGTTGGGGTCCTCCTGGGTTGGGGGGCCTGCCTGGGTTGGGGTCCTCCTGGGTTGGGGGTCCTCCTGGGTTGGGGGTCCTCCTGGGTTGGGGGTCCTCCTGGGTTGGGGGTCCTCCTGGGTTGGGGGTCCTCCTGGGTTGGGGGTCCTCCTGGGTTGGGGGTCCTCCTGGGTTGGGGGTCCTCCTGGGTTGGGGGTCCTCCTGGGTTGGGGGGCCTGCCTGGGTTGGGGTCCTCCTGGGTTGGCGTGCCTGCCTGAGCCTGGGATGGGGGTTTTTAGATTCTGGTAGCAAATGTTCACGGGCCCAGGGCATCTTCAAGTTTTGGAAGACAACACTTGTTAGTGGATCACTTCAAAAACGAGTCTGCTGAGGTAGAGCACGCCTTTAATCCTGGCATTTGAAAGGCAGAGGCAGGTGGATCTCTGTGAGATTGAGGCCAGCCTGGTCTGCATTCAGACCGGCTGAAGAGACCATATCTCAAAAAGACACACACACACGTAATAATAAATAATAATAATAAAATAAATCCACCAGGTAGAGTGGTACAGGCCTGTAATCCCGGCACTCTGGAGGCTAATGCAGGAGAATTGCTACAAGTTTGAAGCCAAACTAGTATACATAGTGAGTACTAAACTAACCAGGCTAAATAGCAAGACCCTCTTCCCCCAAACCCAATTCTTCTTGTTACTATTATTTTTAAAATAATAATTCTTTTGGTGTTCTAGATTTATTGGTATTCTAAGTAAATGTCTGGAAGGTCTACTGGCACTCCACCCTTACACTAAGACCTCTCTCAAGTCTGACCTCTTTTTTTGCCCTTTCCCCTACATAAAGCCTCTTCTTTTTGATTTGTAAGCCTGTGAGTCACTTCCCTCTTTAAAGTTGTGCAATCTCCCTTCTGCTCTTATTTGCCTGTGAAGCTCACGACCTCGGGGACTAATCTGGGATCAGACTATCTTAACCCACGAAGGATGCAACACACCAAATTCTTGCCCATCAGCTCTACTTCACTGTCACCATTGTGAGAGCATGGAGCCAGTAGCAAGAACCGGATGTGTAGGATTCCTTTAAAGTTGAGTGAGACATTCTGGGGAGAGTTAGGCCATGAGGTTTGGAATTTTAGCAGGTAAGAGATTCGTGGAAAGTTTCGGCATTTTGTTTGGTTACCCCCTAGATTCAATTGGCCTGGGTATTGTAGCTTCCTGGACCCTCCTTTCTACCAATTTTAAACCTTAAATGAAGCACGTTTGTTTCTGGTCCCTGGACCACAAGCTAATATAGGATTCCTGATTCACTGCTTGTGATCTTTTCTCCACCTTGTTCACTAGGCATTCCTCCTAGTGACACCAACCCTGCAGCCCCTGTAGGAACGACTTTTATATAGACATAATCTTGATTAATGACTTTTTTTTTTTTTTTTTTGGTCTTTTTGAAGCAGGGTCTCCCTGTAGCCCCAGCTGTCCTGGAACTCACTATGTAGACCAGGCTGGCCTTGAACTCACAGAGATCCACCTGCCTCTGCTTCCCAAGTGCTGGGACTACAAGCGTATGCCACCATACCCGTCTGATGAATGACTTAGTGACAGCAAATCCATGCGCTCTGTGTCTTGTGATCTGGGTACCAGATTTTGTTTCCTGGGAACCTCACAAAAAGATAATAAATGAATGTGGATATGCTTGAGAATTAATATATCGGGGCTGGGCATGGTGGCGCACAGCTTTGATCCCAGCACTTAGGAAGCAGGTGAATGTTTGTAAGTTCAAGGCCACCCTGACCTACATAGTGAGTTCCAGGCCAGCTGGGGCTAAAAAAAAAAAAAAAAAAGAAGACCAAAAGGGAGAGAGACAGAAAGATATTCTAGAACTAGGGATAAAAAGCAGGATGGTCAGTTAAGATTAGGGTGGCCTCAAGCTTATACTTTCTCAATTGAAGCTGCAGAAGCCATTTTGAGTAAAATTATGGGTAAGGCTTGACTTGGGGACAGAGTTCCAGTAGAGAATTCCTTCAACTCAGTTCCAGGAGACAGTTCCAAGAGGTATCTGGGGAATGAGTGTTCAGGCCCACGCTTAAATACTAAATTCAAGAGTTAGGCATTTTGTTTAGGTAATTCTGTGGTGTCATCACACTGCAACCCCCAAGCAGGACCTCCTCCCTGTCTTCTTTGGAATCCAAGACTCAAATGCCTTTGCTTCTCGCCAGCGTGTTTGCATACTTTTATGCTTGCCTTTTTTTCAATATTATTTTTATTTTGTGTATGCCGTATTGCCTGCATGCAGGTAAGTGCACCCATGTTGTGCAATGCCCTCGGAAGACAGAAGAAGCTGTCGGATTACCTGGAACTGGAGTTACGGACAGTTGTTAGCTGCCATGTAGGTGCTGGGATTTGAACCCGGGTCTTCTGCAAGACCAACCAGCATTCCCATCTGCTGAGCCATCTCTCCAGCCCCACCTTTTTCATACAATATTATTTTAGCATTCCTTTTTTGTTTGTTTTTGTTGTTTGAGACAGGGTCTCACTATGTAGCTCTGGCTGGCCTAGAACATAATATGTAGATCAGGCTGGCTTGGAACTCAAAGAGATCTGCCTGTCCTTTGCCTCCCAAGTGCTAGGGTTAAAGACATGTGCCACCATGCTGGCTTTTCATTTGTTTTGAACCAGGGTCTTCCTGTGTACCCCCGTCTGGCATTGAACTCACTGTGTAGCCCAGGCTGGCCTCCTGTCTTAGCCTCAAGAGTGTTGTGATTACCAATTTGAGCCACCATGCCTGGCTCTTAGATGCCTTTTTTTTTAAAGTGTCTTATTAAGTTTTTTGACTTCATTTTTTATTTATTTAGTGGGAGGGAGCACATGAGTGCCGTAGCATACATGTGGAGGTCAGAGGACAACTTTTTGGATTTGATTCTCTCCTTCTAGAATGTGAGACCTGAGCATTGAACTCAAGTCATCAGGCTCAGCAGCACACTCCTTTACCAGATGAACCATCTCGCCAGCCCATTATTGTTTTTGAGCAGAGCAAACGAAGACTTATTAAGTGAAAAGAAAAGAGAGAAAGAAGGTCTGAGAGTGAGAAGGCTTCAAGTCACGTTTTCTCTCTCTTTTGGTACAGGGTCTCACTCTGTAGACCGGACTAGCCTTGAACTCACCATGGAACCCAGGATGGCCTCAAACCTGCTTCAGCTTCCTGAGTACTGGAATTAGTTTTTACAGAACTGATTTCACATGGTGCGGTGTGAAGACATCACAGTCACCTATACGCTTAAGAGACCTTTTGCTTCCTGCTCCATCTACGTGCGCTGGAGCCCAAATGATGCTCGTTTGGGGCAGCAACACTTCACTCTCCACGAAGCACTGCTGCCTATCTTTGAATCTCCCACAACAGTACGGAGGCTTCAAGGATTATCATTGCCATCTTAATAAACAAATGGTTTCAGAAGAAGTACCCGATCTGCCCCGTAGCCTTATGACTGATGGGCAACCTAGGCAAGATTAGATCCCAGAGGGATGACCTGTGCTCGTTACTCAATTTTTCTTTATTTAGATTCCTCATCTGTAAAATGGAGACAGTAATAGTTCTCCCTGTTCTAGATAAAAGTTTTTGGGCATTCATTGTATTAGTCTTTTTTTATATATATATTTTGGTTTTTTGAGGCAGGGTCTCATTATGTAGCCTAGGCTAGCTTCAAACTCATTGTGTAGTACAGGCTGATCCTGAACTCCTGATCCTCTTGTCTCCACCTCCTGAATGCTAGGAGTATAAGTATGTGTTGGGATTACAGCACATTCTACCATGCCAGGCTAAAGTCTGCTATTAAAAAGTAAGGATACATTGGAGCTGGAGAGGTGGCTCAGGGGTTAAGAGCATTTGTTGTTCTTCGAGAGGACCCAGGTTCAACTCCCAGCACCCACATGGCAGATCTGTCGACTTCTTCCAGCCTTTGTGGGCACTGCACAAATATCATAGGCATATAGTCAATTCAAACGCTTGTAAAATAAAAATAAATCTAAAAAAAAAGTAAGGCTATGGCTGGGTGTGGTGGCACATACCTTTAATTCCATCACTTGGGAGACAGTGGCAGGATCTTTGTGAGATCAAAGCCAGCCTGGACTCTGTAGTGAGTTCTAGGCCAGCTGGAGCTACAGGGACTCCCTGTCTCAAAAACAAATCAATCAAATGAAAGTATGGATATGGAGCTGGAAAGATGCATCAACATGAGGACCTGAGTTTGAATCCAAGTTCCCACATGAAAAGCCAGGTGTGGCCACCCAGCACTTAGGGAAGGAAGAAAAGACAGGATGATCATGGGAGCTTGCTGGCCTCAAGCCTAGTTTCATGTTTAATGAGAGATCCTGTCTCAGAGGAATAAGATTGAGAGTGATAGAGCAGGACACCCAATGCCCTCCTGTGGTACATGCACATGAATACAAACACCTGTGTACACATGTGCAGATAGTAAACCAGGTGTGGTAGCACACACCTGAGATCCCAGCGCTAGGAAAAGCTGAGGTAAGAATTGTCATGAGTTCAAGACCAGTTTGGTCTACACAATGAACTCCAGCCAACCTGGATTACATAGCATGACCCTGTTTTAAAACAAAACAAACAGGGACAGAGAGATGGTTCAGTTCAGCACATCATACTCAAGCCTGATGGTGTGAGTTAGATTCCCCAGAACCCACATGGTAAAAGGAGAGAACCAGCCCCTACAAGTTGTCCTCTGACCTCCACAAGCACATCGTGGTGCACGAGTACCCTCCCTGCAAATAAATAAACAATGTAATTTAAAAGTACTAGAAATGTAAGGATGGTATTTGCTTTGTGGGGAGACTAGAGGAAGGGACCACAGGGGCCTGCTGGGTGCTGGCGATTTTCTATTTCTTTTAAGCTTTTTAAAATATTTTAATTTTTATTTTACGTGTATGCGTGTACCCATGTTGTGCAATGCCGGAGGAGGTCAGAAGAGGCTGTCGGATCCCCTGGGACTGGAGTTATGGACAGTTGTTAGCTGCCATGTGGGTGCTGGGATTTGAACCCGGGTCTTCTGCAAGAACAGTCAGTGTTCTTAACAGCTGAGCCATCTCTCCAGCCCCGATTTTCTATTTCTTATTCTGGGAGTTTGTTATATTTTCATACTCTGAAAATTTATCATACTGCACATTTACATGTGCTTTTGTATATATTTTATGCTGCTAAAAAAGTTTTGAGAAGTTAAGGAGTAAAGAAAATAACACAGCTTATTTCAGAAGGTTTTTTTTGATAATGAAATGCATTGACACATTGACCTGGTAGAGCAATGTCACACAGGTAGAGAAATGGTATGAATAACTGCACTCCAGGCCTCATTTGGGAGAGATTTGCTGGGCACTGAGATGAAGAATTCAACCAACAGGGGGGCTGGAAAGGAATTTCAGCCATCAGCAGTTTCCAGAATGCCCATTCCGATTTCCTGGACCTCACAACTGTTAACACCACTATTACAACTCAGACTGTAATAAAAATGGCTGTAAGCATGTGTTTGTAGTTACCTTCTAGCACGAAGTAGAAAGCTCCCTTTAGGTATATTGCTGACACAAGTGATACTGAAATAACATACAAGCACTGGCCAGAGGGAAGACAGCTGCCCCCAGTTCCATGAGCACTTCCCCTCCCTCCTCTAACACCATGCGTTCCAGCTCCATTCCACCAGAGTCTCCTTTTTCCAATCTCTCCCTTTGTGCAGCTGGTTCCCTTGTTCCCTCCCTCCTTGGACTTAATCTTCCCTCTGTCTGAGATGTCTGCCCCTCTGGCAAATTCTACTGTCCATCACTCAGTTCTCCACCTGTGAGGCAGTTCCTACTCTAAGACCATAAAGTAGTAAATGGCAGGACTGTTCCTTAAAAAAACATTTATGTGGGGCTGGAGAGATGGCTCAGTGGTTAAGAACACTGGTTGTTCTTGCAGAAGACCCGGGTTCGAATCCCAGCACATGGCAGCTAACAACTGTCTATAACTCCAGTCCCAGGGGATCTGACAGCCTCTTCTGTCCTCCACGGGCATTGCATGACATGGGTGCACTTGTCTACATGCAGGCAATACATGCATACACATAAAATAAAAATAATAATAAAAATAAAAACATTTTTGTCTGTCTGTTTTGGTTTTGCTTGACAGCATCTCATAAAGCCTGGGCTAATCTCAAACTTCCTAAGTTTCTGAAGCTGGCCTTGAACTCCCAGTTCCCTGCCTCCACCTCCCAAGTGGTGAGATCACTGTTGTGCACTATCATGTCTAGCACTCAGTCATGGGTTGTCTGGCTCAAGAATACATACTTGGAGTGAACTGTTGGGCAACAGGCACACTTGCCCCTTTGGCATTAAAAAGATGAAGGAGGTAGACTAGACGGGATCTAGGGTTCATTGCATCTGTGTTATCTCAAAACAGTCACAAAACACAGTGCCTTACATTGTGTGTAGCTCCATAATGCCCTTCCCTGGAAGACTGTCTCAACTAGACTGGTGACTTGCCAGTCCCTTATCATAATTCATGCCCTCTTTCCACCCAAACCTGAAGTAGATGAAGCTATCTTTCTCATGGACCAGAGACCAAAATAATGAATCACAGCAACAGAACAATTTAAGTTTGAAGTTAAGTGATTTTTATGCTTTTATCATATATGGATATATGCTTTTATGATATATGGATATATAGGATATATGCAGGAGATATAATTCAAGATATATCTTGAATGTTTTATGTTTTTATCACCATGTATGTTTATGATATATGACATATAGGATATATGCAGGAGATATAATTCAAAAACCCCAATGGAGACTACAAATAGCACCATGTTCTACAGTGTGTTCTTGTTTTCTCTTTCTCCCCCCACCTCCCATTCTGGGAAGCAAATCCACAGTCCTGTACATCCTAGGTAAATATTCTCCCACTGAGCTATAGCTCAGATCTTATTTTTTTCTTATGTATATAAACCTATGATAAGATTTAATTTATAAATTTTGCACAGTAGATGATCCATACCTAATAAGATAGAATAATTACAATAATGTAATAAAACTTAGGTAAATGTGGTCTCTCCCGACTCTCCCTGCCCCCTCCTGCTCATATATATATAGCACAAATGTGTTTGGAAAAGAGATGACTCAGGTCTAGGGTGGCATGGAGGGAGATGACCCAAAATTCCATCTTGCTACTCAGAGCAGCAATTTAACATTTATGAGTTGTTGGGCCAGCAAGGTGGTCCAGTGGATAAAGGCACACATACAGCCACACAACAGCAAACACAAGAATAATAAAATGTAGCCAGGTGTGGTGGCACATGCCTTTAATCCCAGCACTTGGGAGGCAGAGGCTGGTAGATCTCAGTGAGTTCAAGGCCAGCCTGGTCTACATAATGATTTCCAGGTCAGGCCAGCTGGGGTTACAGGGAGACCCTGTCTCAAAAAGACAAAAAAAAAAAAAGGTTATTTATTAAATTTTCCAACAATTTTTCTTAATCTATTGTTTTGTGGGGGAGTATGTGTATTAGAGAGAGTATGCGGAGGTCAGAGGACAGCTTGTGGGAACTGATTCTCTCCTCCTATCATGTGGGACCTGGAGACCAAACTCAGATCGTCAGACTTGATTGTCAGACTTGTTAGCAGGCACCTTTACCCACAGAAGCATCTTGGCAGGCACCCAATATTGTTTTCGGATTGCAAGTGACCAAGTGTAACTGAAATCTAGGTAAGCGAAATCATGGATAAAGGGGGATTGCTGTACAGATGTGATGCCATGTTGGATATTACCAATAACAATCAATTGTTCTGTAATATCTCAGTGTAGCTTGTATAGAGGGAAAATTGAAACAGAGTCCAAGCTTGGAAGGTAGTGAGGATTTTGTTGTTTTGTTGGTCGGTTGGTTAGTTTTCTGAGACAAGGTCTCACTCTATTGGCTAGGCCAGCATGAGAGAGACTGCACTCCCAGCACTTGGGAGACTAGAAGATCAGGAGTTCAAAGTCACCTTCAGCTATCTGGTGAATTCTCAAATTCAAGGCTAGACTATACTACATAGCAAATTTCAAGCCATTCTGGACTACATAGCAAGATCCCTTCTCAAAAGCTGCATTTAATGGCTCATATATGTAATTGCATAGTGAGTTTGAAGCCAGTCTGGGATAGGAGACTTATCTCAAATAAAAACAAAAGCAAAACCCCACAACTTTCTCATTTTGTTTTTCTGGCCCTAGGGCCTGATTATCAGTGACATGTCTATGTAACAGCCTCTACGGAGGGCTATGTAGGTTATCTGAGACAACCACTCCAAAACTGCCCTTTTCAAGGATTGTTCTTGCTCCAGCAATGCAAGTCATGACCCTGTGGTCAGTAGGTCTTGAGAATGGGAACTGGTTCTCATCCAGTGTTGGGGTGGTCAGTAAGGCTGAGTTGCAATTTAGTAGGCATGTGTCATCATCAAGGGCAATTTTTTATGCATTGACTTCATTAGTAAACAGTGTTAAGTTGTATTTTGTGTACTCTGTGGAAACAATGCAGGACTGAAGAAAAGTCATGAGTCAGGAACCTCAGACCTTGTGTTTAATCTGTCAGATGTGTGCCTTAGGCAAATAACTG